TCGGCTGCGCAGCCTCGCAGCCAACGATCGGTTGCGCCTTGTCAGCGGAGCGGCTACTTCAGTAGCCTGCGCCTCGCCCAGTGACCGGTCCAGTGGCCACGCCCACTGGGGTAGGCATTCGCCCAGCTGGCCAACACGGCAAAGTAGCCAACTTCAGCGATTTATCTTAAGTGGTTGCCGTGAATTACGACAAATTTCTATAATAAAGCAGACAAAAATCTAACCAAATGGTCGCCACAGAGCCGGGAGGCTCGTCCCAGAAACAACCGCTACTTGGAAGAAGGCCAAGACCATGGCCAAGACCAAGACCAAGATAACAATGTGTTTTTCTTGTTGCTGTTGCTGTTGTTGTTGCCTCCACTTGATTTCACCATGGCAATTCTGGGCGCAATCAACTGTTGCTTGGGCGTTTAGAGGCAGAAGAAGCAGCAAAAAAAAAAAATACGTTGAGGCTAATCAATAAATTTGACGTGCGTTTGAGCTCTATTTTTTTTTCGTCAGATAAGGTTGCAAAGGTTGGAATTTGGGGCCAGGGGGAGGAGGCCTTATCAGGCAGCTAAGCAAATTGCGTGGTCCGCTTGTAAACAAAAACAATCGAAAGCCATGGTAAGTGCGCGGCTCCCGCGGCGCCAGATAAGCGCCGGAGACGACCTTTAATATGGCCAGAAAGAGACGGCGTGAGAGATGAGAGAAGAGAGAGGGCGACAGAGAGAGGAGAGCAACACGTTGTCAGTGCGTGTCGCAGTTGTTGTTAATTTTGTCTCAAATTTGCAACGCGTCATTTGGCCAGGTCAATAAATGTATCGCAGACGAAAGAGAAGTTGGCCAGAATCAAGCAGAGAGGGGGGAGAGGCGAGGGGGGGGGGGGTGCTGGCTGGCTGGTAGGACGTGGCCATGGCACCTGTTCATTGTGACCGGGCGGCCGCCAAACCGGCCGAGCTTATCAGCATCTCGAGCTCTAACCAAGTGCACAAGTGGCTACTGCACCTTCCCAGCAACCCTCCTGCCCTCCCCTGCCCACCACCTCTGGGCAGAACGTGTCGTTCACATTGCAAACGAGCTGCCCAGTTGCCATCGATATCGTCTGTTGCCTTCAGCCTGTTGCCTCATTTCGGGCCGCTGCACAGTGTGTCGGGTAGCTCGATCTCTGATTAGAAAATACAAAAAAAACTAGAGGAAAATAAACAAAATAATAATAATGTTAATCGGTTTGCGCCCAAAAAGGCGGCGACACGAGCAAATTAATAAATGCTATCAATCTGCACAGCTGATACGTAAAAAAAAAGAAAAAAACAAAATATGCGAATTCACGAGCTAAAATTGTGGTTCAAACGGGAAACTAAATAGACTTTTTATACTTGAATTAAGAACTTACGAATACAAATATTCTAAAAACATTTAAAGCGTATCTGAAATTAAGTACGAATTACGCTTAAATCAAGAACTTTATAGCTGATTCACGAATTTGAAGCTTCTGTAACTTCTCTTGTCATAATTAATTTAAACTTTTATTTAAATTGCATATATTTTTTTTTAATGGAACCATATTATTTAAAACAATGCTTTAACTCTTTGGGAATTGCAAGAGTTTACTTTGCTTAAAGCTCACGTCTACAGCTCAGCCTGAAAGCTCGCACTGAAAGCTCACACTGAAAGCTTTTGAGCGATTGTTAAAATAGGCAGTTTTGCATTTGCACCACTGTGCAACATACTGCAGTAATAAACAGCAGCAGCAGCCACCGACACCACCAACCCACAAAGCTCGTGCGTGGCCTGGCCTGGCCTGGCCTGGACTGGACGGGATGCTGCCTACCCCTGGCCTGGCATGCGGCTCCACGCTTCTTCATAATCAAAATTAATGATTGAAATTATCTAGGAGCTAAAGTAGGCAACCGCAGCAGCAGCAACAGTTGCAGTTGCAGTTGCAGTCGCAACGTCAACAACATCATCGACAGCAGCAGCAGGCAGCAAATGGCCAACTTGGTTCTAGCCTGGCCTGGCCCACTGATGGCAGCACTTAGACAAGGCTATCAGCACCCAGCAGCAGCAGCAGTTGCAGCCAAAGTTGGCCAACAATTTCATATTAAATTGCCAAGTATTAAATGGGCAGCAGCAGGAGGAGAAGGCGGAGGGGAATCAGCAGCGAATTGGAGTCGGACCATTTTACTTCCTTGTTCTGCAAGGTGCTTTGGCGCGGATTAGCTGCAACTGCGGCTAACTGTGGCACAAACTGTTGCAACAACAGCGCCTCCTTGTTGCCTGCAAGGGCTAATTTGTGCAACGCGCGCGGCTTATTCTCAATACACTCGCACAAAGAGTGTTGCACATTTTAGACAAGGTGTGCGACGTCTTCAAGGGGATACAAAAATACAAATATCTGCTAAGCCGATCTAGTCTGTGGCTCTGACGCAGTTCTTAAACTTGGGCTTAGCTTAGTATTTCTGTGAGCAAGGGTATTTAATGTGCGGCTCGTTCTATTTGCTGGACTTGGCAATAAAAACTAATTATGCCCGGCTTGCAGCTCGGCAGAGTCGCAAGTCAAGAGCCCAGACTCTGATAATAATCTGGCATAATGATAACAAGGCCCGGCTCAGGCCCAGGCCCAGGCCCAGGCTCTAACTGGAGCAGCATTTAGGAGCGCTTAGCTGCCACCAAAATGAGCAACTCGTGGCAGATGATTGGCTGTGTGGCTGGCTCGAGGCACAATTGTTGTGCTCCGAAACTCAATTATTTTAATTAGTCGCGTTTTACCAATTGCCTTTTTTCACACGCTTGTGGCAAGTGTCAAGTGGCAGCCAATTAAAATGTAAACAGCTAGCGACAGAGTTGGCGAATTCTGCAGATCGAGAGATCGATGCAGCTAAAGAGAGGGGGGGAGGGGTTAGAGAGCAGCTGCTTCCTGTTGCCAGCGACAATTCCAGCGAGCTGAGCTCTTAACTTGGCCCATTGACAGGCGATTTCCGTTCGACTTTTGTGAGACAAAACCCCCCCTCTTTCTCTCTCCTTCTCTCTCTTTCTATCTCTGTGTGGCGCCAAGCTGGCCACAACGCCGGCAGCGCTGCTGGCGCCACAGAAATTTATATGGCCTAGACCAGCGAACCCTGCTGGCAAGGAGCAGGTTCAGTCAGCAGCGGCAGCAGCTGGCGGCGCTGAGTTCACGACGCCGTTCATTAAATCGCGGCCACAATTTGCCGCTGGGCCTTGCGACACGCCCCCCCTTTTGGTCGGGGCGCAACCCATTGAGGCAGCTAATGATGAGTTTGTCAGGCGGCAGGTGAGCTGTGCCACACGCCCGCGGCAGAGCCAAAGAGAGGAGCAGCAGCAGAAAATTGCAACAGACAGCGGCTAATCACAGACGCTGCCGCCAACGTAGCTGCCACAAGCGGCAAGCGGCAGGCTGTGTTGTTGCAACTGCAACTGCAACAGCTCCTGCTGCCTATGCTACCTTTTTTTTTATTAACTTTAATTAGCATTTCCGCACGGCCTGTTTGGGCCGAGTGGCAAGTGGCAAGTGGCATGCGGCAAGTGGCCAGTGCAGATATATTCCGCATCGATAAATAACATTAATTAAGTTGTTCAATTGGCACTGGACCACGCCCAGCAACACACCAGCTGCAAATGCAACTGCAACCGCGACGGCAACTGCAACTGCACGTTTTAATTAGCCTCCCCCCCCATCCACACCTACGCTCCTTGTTCTAAGCCAGCATTGTTATTGTTGGGGGCCCGGCTTTAAGCTGCTTAACAGCCCAACAAATGCTGGCAGCTGCAACAACAACAGCAACAATAACCACAACAACAACAACAACTACAGCAACAACATGCCTTGGGTGTTGTCCACTCGTAATACCCTAAGTAAAATTCCTAGCACACCTTTACCTATGCACACTTGCATTTCCTTATAGCAGGACCTGCGCCAGAGCCTAGAGGAAGACTCGCATGTGAACGGGGGAACTGCTATCTGTTGATTCGAGGCTCAAATTTGAACCAGTTTATCGATAAAGTCGATAAATATCGTTAGAGATTCTCTTGAAGCACACAATTTCCCTACACACACACGCACACACTCAAAGTCCAACTTGATAAGCGTATCTCAGTCTTTTATCTTAGCTCTATTCACAATTTCTTTAAGCTTGTCTTTTTGGGATAGTTCCACTAGACGAAGCCAAAAGTGTTTCATGTTAATTTCGGTGCGATTTTTAATCAGTTGCCAATTGCCCTTTTTTCTTTGGCTAACCAGCTGCCAACTGCCAACTGCAGCCCACTTTTGACAGTTGTTGTCAGCTGTGGGTGGGGGCGTGGCTGGGCAGGGAAGGGTTGCGCTTGGCTGCGCTTTCAGCTGCTGTCTGCGCAGATTGTCTTGCCCGAGCGATTCGCATAACGTTAGATCTGCAAAGAGATCGCTTCAGATCGATAACAAAGCGGGGGCGGTCACGAAAGAGAGATAGAGGGGGGGGGTGGGGGAGGGAGAGTGGCGGGTTCATAGTGGTTGGGTGCGGGCCGCCAAATGATCGTAAATAAGCGCTGAAAACTTTATAAATGCGCCAGCGCATAAACTTGGCCGCAAGTTGGGCACAAAAGTTGGCGTGTTTACGAGGCGGCAACCACAATGGTGGTCACGATCAAAAGCGGTCAAGACGACAACAACAACAGCAACAACAACAACAGCAACAACAACAACGACAGCAACAACAAGAACTGGTGGCACATTGTCGTGTGACAGCCGCCAGTCGAAGCTGGGCCAAGTGCTCCACTGCGATCCACTCGGATCGTGGGCAGCAGTCAGCCAGTCGACCACGTCGCCATTGTGGCTGCTGTGACATTCCAGGGCATAAACAATATATATACACACATTTATAAATACATTTATATATATAAAGATATACACAGCTGACAGGCATTGAATTGTGCTTGATAGACGAGCAGTTACAACATGTTGCCAATTGTAAATTGCCAATACCCTGTAGAATTTGTAGAATATTCAAAAAATAAATACTTACCCAAAATCGAGGATTTCAACTTTGTTAAAATTTATGAAGATTGACTTTAAAATTTCTGTAAAAAGAAAAGAAAAAAAATATTTTAGACCTTCAATGCAGCCGAAATATTTGAAGATGAAAGCAAAAACTATTTGTTATCTTTAAATTGTTTAAATATTTAAGCTTGAGTTTTATCTTTCAAACATGTAAGCCGATCTCTTTAATTCAAAGCTAAAATCTTTAGCCATAAATCTGATTCTAACGTGTAATTTCTCAAAGCGCAAAAAAGACTTTGCAGAATTCGTTACAAAAAAAGTCACGCTCCCCCGCACCTATTGTTTACAGGGTATATGTCAGCATAGTTCGCTGCATTGTCATAATTATTAATAAGCTTTTGTGGCGCGCATTTGAATGTGGTCAAGACAAGTGCACACGGCATTTGGCTTTGATGTTGACCGACTTTCGGCTTAGCTTAGCTGATTTGTCATTAGCGCACAGTGGGCATGGCCCGTGGGCGTGGCAGTGGGCTAAAGATGTTGCAGTGGCAGTTGTCTAATTGCTGCAGCACTTGCAGCAGCAGCTGCCACCAGCGTTGACTGCTGTCTGCAACATCAAGTGGCAATTGCACACTCCCCATTCTCCCCCTCACCCCTTCGCCTTGCATGCTCCATTCCCCATTTAAATCGCACATTTGTACGCGTCATCCACATCCACATTCACATTCACATTCACATTCATATTCGCATTCAATTCTCTCCATCTGCAGATCTGCATCTCGAGCTGGGGCCATAGCTGGCAGCTAATTTCGAACAAAAATTAACTCCCCAGCGTAATTTTTCATTTCTTGGAATGGATTTTTACTCGCAACACGACTTGTTGTACCCCCCACCACCACCCAACCCTCTCTTCTCCTGCCCCATCACCCACCCTTGCCCTGCCGCAGCCTGTTCTCGCGTCTGTTTTGTGTAAATTGTAGCACAGACATTAGAACATTTCGTCGTTGTTCGACTTTCTATATGCGCATATGTACACTCAGAGAAAATAAGTTATGGAACATACTAACAATAAATAAATGAATAAGAGGTTGGTCGCAATCAAGTTTTAGGTGCATCTCACGTTTGAATAGACTTAAATTAAGTAAATCGATCTTGCTTTAAGGAAAAACTCAAGATATTTTCACTTAAGCATTAAAAGCTTATAGTTTCAGGTTTGAATACTCTTAAATTAAGAACAATTTAATATGATTAATACTCAAAAAATGATTCTAGGTACTCAAAAAAAAAAAAAAAAACATGAATTATTAATATATTTACAAAGCTTCAAAGTTCAAGTTAAGCTTCTTTAAGAATTTATCGCTTAGATTAAGCAATTTGGAGCTTAGATCAATTTCGACTGTGTTCTTTCGAAGAGTGTATTTCTGTGTGTGTGTGTGTGTTGCACACATATGCAAATATTAGCTCGAGTTATATCATTTGCAAAAATCTTGTGGCCAGCCAAGCAGGCAGCATAAATGGCAACGGCTTTGACTTATGCTACTTCTTCTTCGGCTTCTGCTTCTTCTTTGGCTTCTGCGCCCCCAAAATGCGGAAGTTTAAACAAAAAACTGAACGCAGAGAAAGTTTAGAGAGGGGCATGTGTGTGTGTGTGTAAAGTGAAGTGCATTTTGTTTGTTTAAGTTGATTTTTTGTGCAATTTGTTGCTGTGGGGCGCATTCGGAATCTCTTGCAACATTTGCAACTGTCAACGCGACAACGGCAATTCGGGCAGTGGCAGTTGCCACAGTTTTCTTGCCAATTTGGACTAGGGCCAATAATGCTGATGATGCTGAGAGACTGCCTGCAGCTAAATGAAATATTCGTATTATTAATTTTGGCATTAGCCTGAAGACAAATAATTATGAGCAGCATTTAGCATTTATTTGGCTGCCTAGCTCCGCTCCAGCATTAAAGTTCTTAATTATTTTGGCAAGACACGATTTTTGCTTCTTCTGAACTGTTTAGTTCTTCTCAAAATTGATTTTGTATTTCAAGATAACTTCAGTGCCCGTGCAAAGCCGGGTTATGTGTAAAAATGATGTGCTCAAAATAGATGTTGCATTTAGGGTCAGGTCACATTGACCATGCAAAGCCGGGCTATTTTATTTCTTAGTTCTAAATACTTCGAAGTGGATTTAATTTCTTCAAGATTTTCTCAGCTGACTTTTATACATTTAATTTAATTTAGCTTGGCTTCGTTTAAGTTTCGTTAAACTTATTTGCCAATTATTTTCTATGGCTCTTTACCTAAAGCTATCTCTAGGAGAGAACTTGCCTTTCCTTTTGTCTGCACACCTTGAACCTTGAAGCCGTATTTCTTCTCGTGTGGCAATTGGAAAAGGCAAACAAATGGTTAAACACTCTGTTAGACGGCTGGCAACTTGCCTGCCCCAGCTGTCAATGACATGAATTGCAAGCCACAACAACAACAACAACAACAACAACAGCAACAAAAACAACTTGAAGCTACAAGCCAAATCCGAATCCGAATCCAAATCCAAATCCGACTGGCCACATGTGCGCCGCCAAATCAAAACGTCAAATTATAATTGTCTACGAGTTGTTTGTGCAATTCTTTTTTTTCTCTTTTTGTTTTTTTTTTAGGTATACCCTGTAACCAATGAAAACAGTTAGGGAAGGGTATACCCCTCCAGTTGTAAAGCCTACCTTTATTCTTGGCCAGTTTTAAAAGTCATCACATTTGTGATTTTCTTTCTGTTCGCTTGGCTATACAATAGCGATATTTATCGATCTCCCATTATTTCTTGAGCACATTTTTAGGATCATAAGGACTGGAGGCAAGGCTAGCAATTTACGTGGACAACACTTTAGATAACACTAGACATTTTCTCAAAATCAATATATATCGATCTTATATTCCTCAATAATAGAGTTGTCTAGACAATTGAGATTTGGTATAGAGAATCATTTGAAAACCTTACCCAAGCTTTGAAGTCTAAGATCGATTGCGATTAACGGAGAATAGTTAATAGAAAAAAGATTTTGTAGTGTAGATAGAAATAGATAGGGTAGCTGCTAGTCGGGCAGCTAAATGCTGTGCATTGGCCTTTTGTCTTGTGGCACGAGCAACAGAAACAGTTAGAGCGCACGACGGCAACTGCAACCAAGCCCCAAAAAAAAAAAAAAACGGAAAGAGCCAAGACAGACGCCCACGCGGCGGGCGGAGCTGGCGGCAGGAAACCCAAACTCAAAGTCAAGTCAAGAAATGCGCCCAAGCGCAACGGGGGCGCGCCACAGGCCCAAAGACCAGAGACTCGAGACTAAAGAGTCGAGTCTAGAGACTGGAGACTCGAGACTGGAGACTCGAGACTGTAGCCTAGTCTTCTCTATGCGCCCTGGCATTGGGACTCGCATGTGTGTCAGCGTGTTGAGCGCCCCCGCTTCCCCTTGACTGCATTTGGCTGATTCCTTAACTGGGCTATGCCGAGGTCAGCGCCTGGGTTCGCTCTTGGCATGGCCAATGATCAAAAACCGCCTGCTCTTGGCTCTGAGTACGAGTCAGAGTCGGAGTCCGAGTTGCCCGACTGCGTCGCGGCCGTCGTCAAACTGTCTGCAAACTGTTTTGTCGATTGGCAATTAGCTGCGAAACGAGCCCAGCCACACACAAAGTTCGCGGCCTAAAAGCCAATTCAACGTTTGCCCCAAAACACTTCACCCCCCGCTCGACTCCCTCTCACTTGGCCTGCTGCTCGATTGTTCAATTTTCGGTTAATTGGTTCTGATTGTTTTCGAGGCGTGTGCTCCCCTCCTCACCGCTCCCTAATATGCCCTATAACAATTGTTGTTTTTTTTTTTGTTCTTGTTTCTTCAAGAACTAAAGAAAATTCGGAACATTCTTTAGTTTTTTATGTATTGTATTATATATACCCCTTTCTCTTGTTATTTTTGCAAACCAACTAGAAGTTTCAGCTTTAAAAACATTTAAATATTCTAGTTTCAGATCTAAAGAGTTTCTTAAAATAACAATAATAATATAGAATATATATAAAAAATAATATATAGATGAGTCTAGAACTTTCTGAGCCTTCATTAACTTTAAGGAACATTATTTGCTTTCTTAAAATTGAAATTGAAAATGTTCTAAACATTTTTGGAAATCATATTTAATCACCGTCCGTTTTCTCTATGCGAAAGCCTATGGAAAGGGTATCTGGCAGTCGCTAACAGAAGAGTATTTTCTTACCCTGTAAACAACTAATTGGTTGGCGTTGTTCTGCTTGTTCTTCTCGTTGTTTGCCACACAAATTATGTACTTTAATTTACTCGATTTATTTTGCATGTCTTTTTTTTTTTGGACATTTGCATGCATTTGTTTTTTTTTTGCCAGACCCAAAGCTGACTAATGCACACGAATATATAGACACATATATAGTTACATATATATATATATCTTAACACTTAAATCGAATAAATAATAATAGTCTATTTTGTTTCTTTGTGTCTTTGCAGGTAAGCAAAAGCTTGAACCTTAACATGTCGAAGGTCGCCAGCAATTGGGATCAAATGCTGTAAGTTGCAATGGGGAAAGGGTGTGGGGGGTTTGTTGGGCTGGTCTGTGTGCATGTAAAACAACGGCTAATTATCGCTTAATCCGTTGACGTTTCCAAGACGTGGGCGTGACCCACGCGACGTTGTTGCTGTTGTTGTTGCTGCTGTTGCTTTTGTGTGGGCTGCTGCCACTTTACATGCGAGCTGCAGCAACAATTGCAGCTAACAACTTGATGCATTTTCATCAACATCGTGCCGCTGGCAATTATATTTCAGCCAAACAATAAATTAATTAAATGGAAAATCGTGCGCTGTCTCTTTGTCTGCTGTTGTTGCTGTTGTTGTTGTTGTTGCTGTTGTGCTGTGCAGGTTCTTAAGAGGCCGACAAAAGATGCCGTGGCTTAAATGTATGTAATTTTAATTGCCCGTTTGCCAAATATGGCTAACAACAACAGCAACAACAACAAAAGCAGACGGCAAGTGCGCAACTAACAGCAACTGTTGCTAACAGAGTTGATGTTAGTGCTGCTGC